TCTCTCTCTCTCTCCTCTTTAAAAGGTGGCACGCCACCCCCCATAAGTGTTGGGGTGGCACACACCTCAAAGAGAAGTCAAGGAGGGGGGCAAGCCCAACCTCTTGTTTTGATTTTGGGGAGGTGCCATCTTGATATTGCCCCTAAGTTAAAAAAAGGTTCTTACTACTTAGTGAAACCTTAATCGTGACCCTAGCTTTTTGGCCCCATAAGATTCAGAAAGGGAGTCTCGAAGGTGCTTCTCAATTTCAGATTGGTCGATTTAGCAGGTTCTAAGATCAAGTGCGCCATTGGTCAGGTGATCGGGTGTGGAGTGTGCTAAGTCCTAAGGGGGTAACCCAAGGCAAAAGTTAATAAGTCTTCCCATATTTATTTAATTTTATTGATATTCTTGCTTATTTATTTTCCTAAAGTTGTTCAGTTTTATTCAGTTTGAATAAAGTTTATTTTTGGCAATAAATCATTAAGTTCCTAGATTGTAGTAGGCCTATTTTATTGTAATCATGGCACCTGTAAGTAGAATTTTCAGCAATTGATAAAAGAAAAAAAAGAAATTGTTGAATTATAGCCTGGAATTCAACATTGCCACCTCTTTCATAATCATGGGTGGTCTGCCATTTTCAATCATACAAAGAGATAATGTCTTGCAATGTAGTGCATGGACAAACAATATGGATAGTTTCACACTCTAAGATATACATATTATCATGGACACAAGAAGAAGTTGCTCAGCATTTCCAAAATCTATGACATGGATACATATTCCTTTTTTTTTAGGATGGGGATTTTTTTTTTTTTGGGGGGGAGGGGGGTGGATGGGTTGGGTTTAGGTCAGATAGTGGGATTGAAACTCAGATATGTTATGCACTTGTCAACCCAGGTGGTCAATTCCGGATATGTTGTGCACCTTTATCTTATGGACATGGTTTATATGAGTCCATTTTGAAATGAGTCACCTCTTAAAAATTTATTTTTGAGATGGATTTTTTGACCTAATTTTTAAGAACATATAATCTCTAATATGGAGATCATAAATATGAAAAAATAAATAACTTTTGAAAATTAAAAATAATAATTCTATTTAAAAAACATTTGGACCGTTATTTCAATTGTTTTTAGATGGACCACCAAGATGGATGCTTTATACCTCGGGGGACGGCAAATGTAGAAATGTGGTCCTCGCTGCATGAAACAATTTTCCTTATCTTATTATTAGTATATTCATCATGTTTTAGGGGCGGCACTTTACATGTTCTGGATACATATTTTAAGATTGGGAATTAATTTGAGCACTTTTGAGCTCCAATTCATTTCTTTTTAAATTGATCCAGGAGATGAATAAAAACTATTTGTGAGTTTTGGGGTTAAAAAAACTGCGGATGTGGCATTTTGGCCATGGGACCAAAATATACAGTTTGGTCCCACAAGATCAAGGGTGCGTATACGGTTCTCTCATGGGATCAAATTGCATATTTGGTCCCATAGGCAATTATGACCTGGAAATTTTCAAATCATATTTAGTTCACCTTGTGATCAATTTCAAAAGAAAAAAGATCTGAGCTCTTGAAACCTTGATCTGACGGTCCATAAAATGGATGGTCCAGAGACAAACAAATCATATTTAGTTCACCTTGTGATCAATTTCAAAAGAAAAAAGATCTGAGCTCTTGAAACCTTGATCTGATGGTCCATAAAATGGATGGTCCAGAGACAAACCTAAATCAAGATTTAATTTCGAGCATTTTCTTTATTAAGCCCCATATTACCTTTTTTTATTAAAAATTGGTCTTCGAGATGAATTAAAGATTATTTGAGAGTTTTTGGGACAAACAAATCACCCCAAAAATGGTGCTTTGGCTATTTTGAATATTCATATAATAGATAAGATGTAACATCCACTTTAAACTTCTTGAAATAATTTTAGATATATCACATTAAGAAATATAATTCAGTTCTTCTCATATTATTTTGTAGTTAGAAGCATCCTAATAGTATTTGGTATTATTATCATATCATGTCAATGCCTGCAGACTATGCATATAGAAGTGTTCGGGTTGGGCCACGACTGACCTACGCCTTGTACTAGAGACTTCAATCTCTTGCAAACAAGGATAATGTCCATAGTAGCATTCCACTAACTTATGATGATTCTTCATTTCCTTGGCATCTTAGCAGCATTTTTAATGATAATAAAGCTATTTAAAAAGTATCCTGAGAATAATCATAGTTTAATGGAAATGATCATATCCAAAAGTAGGGTCACAAGTTGAAGGATTTGTTAGCATAGATTTGGTGCACTTTCTCTCAAAGGAGATTTCATCACAAAGCAATAACCACAAATCCATGTTTGTTTAAAAACATATTCCAATAGGAAAGAAAATATCCATGATTAAATATAATTAACATGGAAAGGACAACTCGAAGGATCTCAGTGCACATGAGAAGCAAAGTTGATACCTTTCCGGGACTTTTCCACTTCAGGATGGTTGGCAAGGGACGAGGAACAGCTGGACCTGTTATGTAGAGCTGCAAGTTGCTCGGCTTCCTTAAAAATCATATCCCACTGAGACGATTGATATTGATCCACTTGATTCTCATTCTGACAATTTTTGAAGTGTCCTTGAAGTTCAGAAGTTCCATTGATTAACGGATAATCAGAGAGCATACCATTCTCCTAAATGAACCAGAAAATTTGCTTTAGATATCTGATGAGTAGTAAAATAGTTGCAAAGTACTGCATGAAACAGAAAATATGAACCATGGTTCATACTCTCTAATGAGCCACGATGATTATCCTTTCCTATTTTATGTGTTTCCATGCATGGCTAGAAAGTTAACAATAACAATAACAATCAAATTTGAACCTATGTTGCTTGACAAGTAACATATCCATCTAATACATTGCTTCATAAGTTTTCAGCATCAGCAACCAAAATAAATCTCATATACCATACCAGATTGCCAGTGATACAAATATAATAAACTTTCTTTAACTTGTAATAAAAAAATAATTCTCACAAATTTAAGCCCAAAGAGCAGTAGTAGCATGTGCCTGGAAGCCACTATCAGAGGAGAATGTATGCTTTTATGCTTAAAAGGTCAAAATAATCATGCTACATAATCAAAATCTCAATATTCAAATTAAGTGCATAACTGTAAGATCTGTAATTCCTTATTTTCTAGAAAAAAAAAATGCAGTGAGCAGCGTAAGCCATTTTTTAGTTCAGAAAAATGAAGAGACATTGTTTAGTTCATCAAACACGTTTTGATGTATCAAGGGTTCATTCCCAACACAAAAATCAATGAGAATTATTACCAAATAGTTTCCCATTTGATGAAGTATCGGAGAGATACCTCAGTTCTATGAGTAGAGATTGAAAGCATAATTTGCAAGCCCAAATCAGGACCTCGAGTAGAACCCAATCACTCATTCAGGGTTAAACCAGAGACCCACTGGGTCAGCAACAAGCATATTTTCAGTTTCTTTGCTTTTTTCTATGTGAATCACTCATTTCAGGAGAACAAGACCAAACCCATTGAAGATTTTACCAAAATTAACCTGGCAATAGGCCAGGTTGGTTGCACCCTAGTGAGTCCCAGATGGACAGGACAATGAATTGACGACAATGAAGGATGTATAAAAGAATTAGAACATTTTCATCTTCACGAGTTAAGGGATGTAGAAATACAGCCAAAATGTTCAATTTCAGAAGGTTGTTGGAAGTTAGCAAATCATGGAGCAATCTTCAAAGAATATATACGTCCAAAAATTTTTGGCTTGCAGTTGGAAAAATCAAATCACTGAGAAAATACAAATTTGACAGATTTGGGGGGTTATTTTTTGACAAAGGGAAGAATGCATCAATAAAAATTGCAATCTTCTACTCTAGTGAATAAAGCAGTACTAGTTGACTCGCTTGCAGTGGAGGGCAGCAGTCAATGGGATCTCATTTTGACATCTCTTTGATTATTTCTGGTTTTGTCTTTGCAGTTGTTTGCATACATTCACATTGATCAAAAAGAAAGCAAAAGAACCACCCAGGATCAAGAATATTCCAGGGAATATTAAAAATTTCAACAGGCAATTTAATATTAACAGCAAATGCAAATCAATCAATTAAATAGTTGACAGCAAGAGCTGCTTCAGCACTGAAGACTCATGGGATATATTATGGTCCACCAATCAACTGGAACCAACATTTATTCAAAAAGTGACCAGATGATCCACAAGCACTAATTTCAAATTCCAACAAAGCTATAAACTATTAAGAAAATAGATTGATCAATTAAACTTTTCAAATAATATGTCAAGATAGAAAAATCAAGGGTGGATATGTAGTAGGCTGTTTATCATTATCAAGAGAACAAAGCTACTTCTTTGATTTAAAAAGAAAAAGAAAAGGGCAAAAAGGATTGAAAAAGCGAGAACCTCCTAGAACATCTAGTTTCAAGATCTAGATATGAAGTATATACAAGCTTAGATCAAATTTCTCCATCAATTTGATAATACATCTAGTAAAATAAATTTCCATGCATGTAAGAAAAAAATAACCTCTTACAAATAATCACAAGATAGTTATATTGTTCTTTTGGCATACCTCATCTGAAATAGTTTCTTCCTCGAAAGGATCATTCAAATCTTCTTCTGAATCAAATCCACTGTTCTCTTTTAAAGTTTCATGAGTTTGAATATGCCCTCCAAGAGAGCAAGTGCCCAAGTTTCGTGCCTAATAATTACATCAAACAGTCACTAATTGTGATATCGTTATAGTTTCTCGAATTAAAAAAATACAGGACTTAGGAATGAACCCGAGGCCTAGGTGGTCATGACTGTGGAGCAACGACGACATCTTGGGTTCCATCTCTACCTACCCTCCAAAAAAAAAAAAAAAAGTCACATAATACCCCATCAATGATACTGTGCTTATCAGAGGACCCAATAAGTTCCTTGTTTTGATACATCTGAAGTACTTCGCTCTTTTCATTTATAAATTCATGCCTCCAAACTTGACCTCCAACAAGGGAAGCATCTGAATCATGCACCTATAAATAAGACCAAGTATTACCATTTAAGATATCGTACTGACTTCTGCTGTGACAAGGAAAGAAGTGAAAACTCCATACCTCCACTGATGATATGGTCTTTCGTTCTGCAAAATCAGGTTCATGAACCCCATTTTGTGATATCTTCAGGCCTTTAAGAAAATCCAAAAGAATGAACAATCATGAGTGATTTCTAGTGATTATACTATAAATATTTAATTAGCTAGTCCAATTAATATGGGGGAAGATTTCTTTGCCATTCTCCAATAACCCAGAAATAGTTGTTATTTCGCCACTTTGCATTAAAACCTAGAAGGGAATATTATGACAAGTATTTTTTTTCCAGCCAAGTATTCGCTGAGAATAATACGAAAAGCCAGCAGTGAAAGAAACGGTATTAGGACATTTTTCTAGAAGCAAAAAGAAGAGAATTTTATGTGCAGCAGTATGTCTCCAATAATCTAAGGTTGTCCAGTTTCTTCTAATCGTCCTGCTGTTCTCCTACCACCAAGGACAGAGCCAATGTAGGGACGCTTTACATTGCTTTAACTTCGAGAATCAAGAATGCAGAAACTTGACCCTGAGACCTGTTTCCAAAAAATTTCTAGTAAAAGGGCAGCTATGATTAGACCATAGTTGTTGGAAACGCCTGGGAACCCGAGTCGTTTTAGGAACCGGAATCGCAGAATCGCCGCCGGCTAGAAGATTCATGTCTTAGGAATCGTTGTCCATACAATAGGAATCGCTAGGAACGAGATTCCTAGTTTTTGAGAATCATGCTTCCACCTAAATAGATTCAAGTTTCATCAACATATGGCATCAAGATTCCATCCTCCTTCGAATAGAGATTCTCATCCCCTTGGAATCGACACTCCAGGAGTCAAGATTCATTAATATGCGGCATCGCGTTTCCTACATTTGTGGAATCGAGTTTCTGACATGTGGAACAGAGATACGTCGCAGTTTTAAATTGTGATTCTAACACATTTGGATTCAAGCTTCTTATGCATATGGATTAAAGATCCATGCCAGTTTGAGCTCAAGATTTATAATATTATGGACTATGGAATGCGTTTGACGACCCCTACCAAGAATCGAGATTTCATTTTTATGGAGAAGGAAGCCACAAGCACATCTTGAGCCTCATCAACTTTAGAACCTATATTGGTTGTCTCTTATTAGAAGGTTTCCCAAATTTTAAAGTGATTGTGTTGACTATTGAACTTACGGTCATTATATACAAAAGACAAGTATTTCTAAATTGTTATTTTCACTTCATTATGATAAAGACAAAATAAGATTATATCTATGTCTTTTACTTTTAATTGTATGTGTTGTATTTACCAATTATATTTTAAATTTAAAGTAAAGCCCATCTAGGGTGGCACAAGTAAAATAATGAAACCCTACAACCACTAGAAGCATTCGAAAGAAGATTTCTATTCCAATTGACATGGAATCAAGATTTAATCCTCGTTGGAACCTAGATTTAATATAATTGAGAACATCTACCCACAATTAATGGGTTCAAGTTTCTAAAGATGTGTTGGATCTAGATTCCGAAATTAGGGAATTGAGTTACCTTGGTTTCAATAAATGGTTTTTAAAAATGTGTTGAATCGAGATTTCAAAATTAAGGAATCAAGTTTCTTTGGTTCTAATAAATGGTTTCTAAAGATATCTCAAATCGAGATTCCGAAATTAAGGAATCGAGTTTCCTTGGTTTCGAAACAAGGTTTCCGTGGAGATTCCTTAATGGAAACGCGGAATCAGGTTTCGGAACCGGAACGCGAGGTCAGCGGAGAGATCTGGTAACTATGTATTAGACTAGGTTAACAAAGCCCCAGAAGAACCACAATAACCAGTAAGATAAAAAAGAAAAGTGATATCCACAAATGACAACTACAAACAAATATCGTACAGAATGGGATAATCGCTACAGTATGAAACTTAGTACTAACAAAAGAAAGAATACTTCCATCCCCAAAGAAAAACAAAATAAAATAGAACTCCATGCTGTAATTGTTTCCCTGCCTTACAGCCTCCTGCTTCTAGCATTCTATGTTAACAAATATATCAATAATTATATAGATGCCACATGCATGAACAAACATGATACAAAATGTTACATGAGTGTGCATGCACAAATTATTGTTAGATACGAGTATCAGCACTAATAAATCAGAAGCCTTATGGACTGCCTAGATGTTCCCAATCAGAACAGTCCTTTTCAAAGCATACACTGTTTGGGATTCTCCGTGCCTATATTTCAATATGGAATTGCATAAACATAAATACAGAGCAAACATGAGCAATGGAACCAACACCCCCATTAAAAGACACAGAATGAACATTTATCATAAATTTAAAATAATCGCACAAAATGACCATACCTTCATTTATCTCATCTCCTGTAGCTTTGGGTGCCTGTTCAGTAAAGGTAGTAGCACAATCAATCGCAACCGCATTACATTACAGAAAAGAACCATTCTATGAAAGTTACACCATTCAACAGACAAAAAGGTCATTCATTATTAATGCTAGGTAAAATTCTGTATATAATAACACGTAAGCCATAAAGCAAACGCCAAGACTCTAGATGCTTCAAAGTTTGATTAAGAAAATGCTAATCTTGTTCATGACAACCACCATTATTTTTTCAAGCAAGAATTTAAGATCAAAAGGACAGGTGCCAATATGGAAATTTTAAAAGACTATGGTGTTTGAATTTAGTTGAACATATGATACATAAAAATATGATGGGAGTCCAACAACAAACTTCCATACATATTGCAACGGCTTAGGATTCTCCCTTGCTAACATGCGTAAATGGAAGTTTATCCTAAGCGAACCCATCTAGCAGTCACGCATTGAAACAAGAAAAGTTTCTTTCAATGCGTATGGATACATTTTTGACATGCAAAAGGTACATGTCACGAAATCATTCACTCTTAGTGTAATGATCTCCAAGAAAAGATGGTTTCTATCACTCCATTAATACAGATGAGGTTAACAAAGTTTACACATTTGTGCACACACACACAGTTTGGAGAACAAAACGCATTTAAAAATTATTGGCATTACTAAATAAATATCGTAGCATAAGGAGCAGGAAGGCACACAAAGATGGGGACAAGATGAAAGCATAGGACATCAAGCCAGGCACTATCATGATACGTAGCAGTTGAGAGTATAAAACCCACTTAGTATAGGGACAATGGCATTAGAAGAATAAGGATATACAATAGAGAGAACATGAAAAGCAGACATAACATTTTTCTCTCATAATACATTAATATGAGCAAATTGTCATCTAGCAGAATATAGAATTCTATATTCTCTAGGAACTAGCATGTTCTTGTGAATCTTTAACAAAAGAGAGAGCGGAAGGATAAGAGGAATAGTGGCATAGAAGCAAAGAAGGTCGGGTTGCCCCTCACCATCTGTGTTGAGACCGATATATATTAATATATATGTGTGTGTGGGTTCGGAGCAATTTAATCTTATGTAAATGAGAAATTACAATGAGTGACATTACACAAATAATAGACGTAAGTCTTACAGAGATGCCCCAACATAGTTACCGGAATCTCTCCACGACTTCACGATTCCAGTTTCGAAACCCGATTCCGCGTTTCCGTTAAGGGATCTCCACGGAAACCGTTTTTCGAAACCAAGGAAACGTGATTCCTTAATTTCAGAATCTCGATTCAACACATCTTTAGAAACCATTTTTTGGAACCAAGGAAACTCAATTCTTTAATTTCGGAATCTCGATTCAACACATCTTTAGAAACCATTTATCGGGACCAAGAAAACTCGATTCCTTAATTTCAGAATCTTGATCCAACACATCTTTAGAAACTTGAACCCATTAATTGCGGGTAGATGTTCCCAAATATATCGAATCTGGATTCTAGCGATGATTAAATCTTGATTAATAAATAAATAAATAAATTCAAAGTATATAAAAAAAAACAATTCAAAGTACATTATGTCCAATGTTTATGATGGTTGTGCACTTCCTAAAGGAAATTGGAGTAGAAAACTTCCTTCGAATGCTTCTAGTGGTTGCAAGTTTTTATTATTTTACTTGTGCCACCCTAGATGGCTTTTACTTTAAATTTAAAATATAACTGGTAAATACAACACATACAATTAAAAGTAAAACCATGGCGTAGACATAATCTTATTTTGGCTTTATAATAATGAAGTCAACATCACAATTTACAAATACTAATCTTTTGTATATAGTGACCGTAAGATCAATAGTCAACACAATCACTTTAAACTTTGGAAAAACTTCTAATAAGAGACATCCAATATAGATTCTAAAAATGTACTATGGACTTTCTTCTCCATAAAAATGAAATCTCGATTCCTAGTAGGGGTCATCAAACGCATTCCATAATCCATATTATTGTAAATCTCGATCTCAAACTGGCATGGATCTCTGATCCATATACTTCAGAAACTTAATTCTAAATATGTTATAATCACGATTCAAAAAAACAACATATCTATATTCCACATATATCAGAAACTCAATTCCATAGATGTCGGAAACTCGATTCTGCATATTAATAAATCTTGACTCCTGGAGTGTCGATTCCAGGAGTGTCGATTCCAGGAGTGTGGATGAAACTTCAATCTATTTCGGTCGAAACACGATTCTCAAAAACTAAGAATCTCATTCCCCACGATTCCGTAGTACGGACAATGATTCTTAGGATAGGAATCTTCTAGCCGGCAACGATTCCATGATTCTGGTTCCTAAAACGATTCGGGTTCCCAGGCGTTTCCAACAACTATTGCCCAATACAAAGACAAATTATTATATCATAGAGCAAATAGGCCCATGCAAGTTATGTCGTGGTTTGGATCATGGATGGCATGGCATTAAGAAACCAATGTCGTATCTATGTGAGCACCTTGGTGAGAATATCTGCAACTTGATTTTCAGTACCAATGGATTTTGTCGCAATTTCTTGATCTTCAATTTTCTCTTACAAAGTGAACGATTTCAATGTGCTTAGTCCTTCCATGATGAACTAGATTGATAGAAATAAAAATAATGCTACAGTTATTACAATAAAGCAACAACTGAGAGATGTTCTGATCAAGGGCTCCCAATGGATGTTGAATCCAAGTTACTACAGTAGTAACTACTGACATAGATCTGTAATCAGCTTTTTTGCTCAACCTAGGCACAGGTCTCTGCTTTCTGCTACTCCATGAAACCAGACTCCATCCGAAAAAGGCACATTAACCAGATATGTAGCAATGAAAATCTAAATGCCTAACTGATGAGCATCGAAATAGGCAAGAAAGTGAGAGGATTGGAAGGAGTATCTCCTTAAGTATTTAGTAGGCCATCACCAGTGGTTGCTTTACTTAAGGAGTATCTCCTTAAGTATTTAGTAGGCCATCACCAGTGGTTGCTTTACTATATTTGAAGTACGTATTTCACAGCTTTTAAATAAGTAGAGTACAACGGATGCAAATAAAAATTGGGGTTTTTTTATATATATTTTCTTGAATTTTAGATTTGGTATTATTCATATTTTTAGTTTATTTGGGGTTATTTTGTATTTTTTTGTTGTAGAGATTTGAGGGTATATAAGACATTTTTAGAATTTTAGGAGTTATCTTTGAAATAGAGAGAAATAGGAAGGACTATCTTAGAAGATATGTTCCAATCTTTAGAAAGTCAATCTTTAAGTAGAAATTGCAACTTTGATAAACATGTAGTTAGAAAGGTTGTCTTTTTTAGGAAAGAAAGGATTTTTAGAAGGAGAGAGATAAATGAGTTTTATTTATTTATGTTATTATTTCTAAGTGTATTTAAAGGACGAGTCCCTCACTGTAAAGAGAGAGATTGGAATTGAGTAAAGTTGATCTTATAAGAAGATCTTTTTAGGGGTGGATTCCCTTGCACACGTTGAGAGGGTATATTCTCTCAACCCTTTTTATTTTTATTATTCTGGTTATTATTTTTCTCCCTACATCAACAATGCAACGGTAAATTAAGAGAACTACTTCACTACAGAAGCAAAATCCAGTCGTGTAAATGTCGGGTATTGGAGTGCTCCAACAATATTGCGGCATTGTCGTGGATTAGAAACAAGTACACTTTCTTCTTCTCTCAGTCTCTGCTGAACATGTGCAAGATCATGACGGACCTAAAAAATTTTCATGCCACTGTGAGAAAGAAAATCTAAGGCGTCCCTACACTGAGAGAGAATAAGTGTAATAGCAATTCTATCCACTTCAAAATCAAGAAAATAATTTAGGGAACCCAAATCTTTAATCTGAAATTTGGCATTTCAGAGATTCTTTACTGTTTGAATATGGTCACGCGACCTTCTGATAATAACAATATCATCAACATAAAGAAGTAAAATCGTGATTCTATGCAAACTAGTGCAAATTGTGACTCTATGCAGTGCAAATTACTAATGAGTAGTCAATTGGATTACAACAAAACCATGAGGGGCTATTTTTTTGCAGAAACTCCAAACCATGCTCGAAACTCCTATTTTTAGTATATAAATCGCCTAAGTGAGCACACATACCTTGAGTTTTCGGTCACCTATGCTGTACTACCAAGTGGCCATTCCATATAGATATCTTCCTTCATATCACCATAAAGAAAGGTATTAAACGAGCTGAAGATCCCAACAATAAGTGATTGCTACAAAGAAGAAGACAATTTGAATGGTGTCCATTCGAACAATGGGGTTAAATGTTTCGTCATAATCCAAGCCAAGCCTTTTTCTTGAGTATATTCCTTTGCTACCATGAGGACTTCAAAGCATTCAATGCTACCATCAGCTTTCTACTTTAATTTTATAAACCCATTTATAGCTACTACATTCTTGTCTGATGATCAATCTACAATTTCACAAGTCTTGCACTTGTGCTATGCTTTCATCTCTCATTCATCACTTTAACCCATTGATAATTCATTCTTGAATTTTTGAAACTATAAGGTTCAGCATGTTTTTTATCTGTCAAGAAGGTCTGGTGTTGAACTGAAAAGTTGTCATAGCTGACCCACTTATCTACCAGGATTTCGCACATGCATAGATCGGCGAACAAGAACAAGTGCCGAAATAGAAGGAGCAGAGAAGGGGTTTGACTGGGAATCAGGAACAGTAATGCTTTACAATGGTTTTATATGTGATGACAAGTTCATCCCAACAAGGGCACACACCTAATGCCATTGATGGTGCCCATGTTATGGGAATGCTGAGAAGCAGACTATTTGTAACCAGCATTGCCAACAAGCTCATGATTCTCAGCATCATCGATTGCACCATCATGGCTACTATTATTTGAGTGAATGCTAACCAGATAACCACGAGATGATGTGCAACTGGAGGAGGAGTTCCTGCTGCATGACTGTCCTTCATGAGAAGGAGCTA